GTTGTTGTTGTTGGAATTGTTATTGTTGTTATTATTATTATTGTTGTTGTTGTTATTACTATTATTGTTGTTGTTGTTGTTATTATTATTATTATTATTATTATTATTATTATTATTGTTATTGTTATTATTGTTGTTATTATTGTTATTATTGTTTTATATTTTTTATTATTGTTGTTATTATTGTTATTATTATTGTTATTATTTTTGTAATTATTGTTATTATTGTTATTATTATTATTATTTTATTGTTGATATTATTATTATTATTATTGTTATTATTATTATTATTATTTTTATTGTTGATATTATTATTATTATTATTATTATTATTATTATTATTATTACTACTACTACTACTGTTATTATTATTATTATTATTATTATTATTATTATATTATTATTATTATTATTATTACTGTCATTATTATTATTATTGTCATTACTATTATTATGTATATGAGTTTGGCAATATACGTCTTGGATAGGGTATGGTTGCGGGAAAGAACTAATAAAAGGAAAGTAACTTATAAAGTGTTTAGTGTGTGCCTTATCGAATTTTAAGTTGTGGATGAATAAAAATTTAATCGTTGGTATTACTTTAAATAATCGTATATTATCTTAATTGTGATTGCTGATATAAGAACTACGTGTGGCTTGATCCTTACAAAGGCGTACGTAGGTAGCTTGGGGTTTAACCTAGGTGCAGCCGCAAAATAAACTGTTTGAGCTGTGCATGTATTGTTCCAAGTGTGGAAATGAATTTTGGAAGATGAAAGCTCTTTTCTTATTACTGTTATGATAATTGTTACGGGTGTATGGATTTACAAAGGAATGCAAAAGTAAGAACATTTTATAAAATGTTTGGTTATGAGGCCGGAGGCCTGTTTTATTGTTGTGTGTAACGTACTTTGTGCTTGCTAAAGTTTGGTGATTTTATACCTTGTTTTTTAGAGGTTGAAAATTTTGGTAAAGTCCGTTTTTCAGGGAATACTCTGCCGAAATTTCTGTAGGAGTCTCGGCCCTCTTTTCCTTTGTTTTAGGGGAAGAGGATGTTTGTAATTAGTAAGTGGGTCCGGCATTGGTTGGATGTCGGAAAAACCACAGGATCCGTCATGGATTCCGAGGAATTCGGGGCTGGTCCTGTCATTCCTTGTGTACCTTTTTTACTCCCATCTACTAAGCTCATTCTTTAACAATGCATAACCATCTGCACTCGATGCATAAGAACAAATTTTGTTCTACATAGCACTCAAACTTCTGTACCGCATAGTTTCTACAACTTCCCTTGCTACCCCATTCACCCATAAAGTTGCATCCACTGTCACTTTGGATACTCTTTGTCCATTGCTTCATTATGAGTGACAAAGGAATTTCAATAAGATACTCGCACTTCATTACATAAAACAAGTGGCAACATGAGATCCTTTTACTTTGATATTTCTGGCACCCACATTTTTTTTCCCATCAACACCCACATTCTATCCGCCCATTTTCCCTATCGCTTTGATATATGGAAGTTAGGAGTTAAATAATACCAATGCCCATTTCGAACAAGTGCATATCATCAAAGAGAAAAAGATAACAAAACACGAATAAATTTTTTATATTGAAATTATGATCAACAATGATTGAAGAACGACAACCATATAACATTACAAAGATAAGAAAATTCTACAGTGCGCTGGTGTATCAACGCGCCCAAATTTAAGCAATTAGATCACTTTGATTCTATGGCTGTTAGTAAATATTAAAACACAAGCACAACAGCATGTACAACCGGTCAGGGAAGAAAGAGAAAAAGAAAAAAACTGAGAAAGCTGAACAGGCTATATTAAAAAAGGACAAAAGGCATGTTTATATATCTTGTGGGCTGACGTTTATATATATCAATAGTAGGCTTCAATTTTTATTAATAGTCTAAGAAAAATCATATAAAAACAAAAAGCTTAGAATAAGAATGTAATTAAATTGAAAAAACGAATAGAAATTAATAGAAAAGTGACAATAAACAGAAAAGTTCAACATATAAAATTAAAATAGTAATAACAGTCATTAAAAAAATTTAAATAAATCCACATTTTTCTTCCACTAATCTCACTTCTATTTTATCTCTATTACTCCACTAATAACTAGCAAGTGAATGATATTTTTCTTAATGTTTTCAAATTTAAAAATATCGCTAAAAATTGTTGAAGCAGAGAAAATTAAAAGAACAATATTACCTGGAAAATTCGTTGTGAAGTTGTGAACGATTCTTGGGATGAGTCGCGTACAAAGACGCTCTCTTTAAGACGTTTCGCGGCTCTGCCCAATTTGTGCAAGCAGTTCAGAAAAGGCCACTACGTCTCTAGAATAAAACAGCCCCAGAATCTCCTCTGTCTAGGTTCTTCCTTTCATTGAGGAAGGACCCGAATACAAACACCTTTCTGTGTTGCTCAGAAACCTTAGTTTAGAAAATAAGGAAAAGATATAAAGAGGAGGAAGGCAGCAGCTATAGTCTATGTCCTTTCTCTCCTAGCTATATCAAATATATATACAAGATTTATCACAAAGAGACGTTGTGGGCATCAATGCATTAGTTGAAAAAAGATTCAGCCCATATTAATAGAAAATTATCACAAAGAGACGTTGTGGGCATCAATGCATCAGTTGAAAAAAGATTCAGCCCATATTAATAGAAATTAACTCCTATTAATAAAGACAATTTAAGGCAATTATTGAATTATTGAAAATATATATATTTTTAAAAATAAAAAATAAACATACCAATTTCAACAATCCCCCACTTGTTTATTTTAGAAATCAATTCATTAAGGAACATATCATAAGACTATGCATAAGTGGAGGTGTTTTTCAACTTGAACCTTTACATAGTGACGGAGCTTTAGAATATACAAGAGTAACATATAGTTTTGAACTCTATCTCTGACAACACCACACACATAGCCCTACTAAGGTGAAGTTCAAAAGCCAACACTTTAAGGCCATGTGCTTGTGTCCCAATATAGTGAATGCTCTAGAAAATTTCCCCCAAAATTTTCATAGAACGCGGCCTCACTTTCACATTCACATAGGTGAGACTATCAGAGATATTCCTGTAGCTAGATATCCCACTCAATATAGAGTATAGATCTCATTAAGAGTTATAAACAACTCAACCTTAAATCGCTTTAGGATTTCATGCTTCTAAGGATGGATATGGAACACTAGCATGACTTCACTCATATCACTAAATGACTTGTTATTACCCATTGAACCCATTTCTTGGGATTTCCAATCTATAGGTTGGGTTACCATCACAAGTGACTTAAACTTCTAGGGGTTTTAGTCCCATTCCTTTTGAGGTTTTCCAAATCTTTTCTCGTGCTAGTCCTATCGTCAAAGGATCAGCTAAATTATCATCAGACCGTACATAATCCACTCTTACAGCCCCATTAGAAAGAAACTCTCTAATAGTATTGTGCTTGTGACGTATTTGTCGCCTCTTGCCGTTATAATAACGATTCTGAACTTTTGCAATAGCTGCAATACTATCACAGTGGATAAGAACAGCTGGTATCGGTCTCTCCCACAAGGGGGTATCTGAGATTAGGTTTCTCAACCAACCTGCTTCCTCACTAGCCATTGCTAGGTGTTGGACTGCGCAAATCTCACGGCATGGTGCTCCGGGCCGAGGGGATGTGCGTCAACACATGACGTCCTTTTGGGTGCAGTGCGGTTATGTGCGAGCGTGCCAGCACGGTCTACCGTGCATCGAGATGGTGATAAGGTTCGGGTAGAAGATGGTTAAATGATATGCCTGTTTTGAGTTCAACTCCTAATCAAACAATTGTGGCTGAGAGAGGAACTGATCTTGGCCGTCAGGTTCACGGCCTGAGCTACAAGGCCGTTTAGTGGTGGTGTTGGTGACGGGTTTTAGGCGGTGCTCCAGCGCGTTGCTCGGAGAGCGACGGTCGTATGATATATGGGGTGAATGAGATGATAACAGAGATGGTGCTCCGGCGCCTTGAAAATCAAGGGTCGTATGATATATTGATGAATGGATTCTCCTTACAATCTACCACTACTCCTAGGAAAGCAAATAAAGGTATTGAAAGTGCATTACAGGAAAATATAATTTGCTCCGTGGGAGGCTTTTGGTTTGGTTTTTGAACCCTTTGAACGTAGTCCCGAGCTTAGTATTTATAGGTGGAGTCCTGGAGGGATAATCGAGGCTGATAAGACCTGCGTGGTGGAAACTGATCGGGGCAAGTGGGTAGTCAAATGGCATTTGGGATCATGAAACATGGTGGTTTGAGATTGGGAAGCATGGTGGTGTGACCCCCATAAATCCCGGTAAATATCGGCCACCGGCCTGATCGTGGGCTCTGCCCCCTTGGCCGTGGGAACGTATTTAATGCCCTGGTCTGGTGGTTGGTGATCTTACCTCAAGTTGTAAGACCACTTGTGAGAAGGTTTACGCCTAACCACTCTGATTTCCATCACCAAATCCTGACTTCAGTCACTTCCCTTCTTCCTTTGTGCATTAAATGCTTCCTGCGACTAATGGGCTTGATGTGATAGTCAGAGGCATTACTTCATTAAATGGGGCGTGGGACCCTGAGGCCACGTGACGATTTAATCACAGTATCTTCGGCCGTGCCTTTTACGGCCTTCGGCTTCGACCTACAACACTGCGGTCGCGAGGCCGAGAGGATTCTGCCTTTGCAGCTTTTCTTTTGTTTTTAGGAAGGCGAAATGCCTGACGAAATGGTAGGTGCTAGGACTGAGAGGAAGTCCCTTCAATCAGTTTATGACCATGATTTATTAGGCACAAACACTAGGGCTATCATCTCTGACTCCATTGTGGACTGAGCCAGAATAGTCTGTTTCTTAGACTTCCATGAAACTGCACCACCAGCAATATTAAATATATATCCACTAGTAGCCTTTGAATCATCTGACAGGGTATTCCAATTAGCATCGCTATATCCTTCTAGGACAGCGGGAAACTTCTCTTAGTGTAATCCAAGGTTCATTGTCCTTTTAAGATACCGCATGACCCTCTCAATAGCATACCAATGCTCCAAACTAGGTCTACTTGTAAACCTGCATAGTACTCCTACGGCATAAGCTATATTAGGCCTAGTGCAATCAGTAGCATATCGATGGCTACCATTGATACTCGCATACTCAGTTTGTCTAACACTGTCACCAATGTTCTTGAACAACTTTACACTAGGATCATAAGGAGTACATGCTGGTTTATAGTCAAAGTAATTATACTTCTTATGGATTTTTTCAATGTAATGAGATTGATCCAAAGAAAATCCTTTTTCAGACCTAGTTATCTTAATTCCAAGTATCACATTAGCATCACCTAAATCTTTCATATCAAAGTTCGCACATAACAACGATTTGACACTATTCACAGCATGAATATTAGAGCCAAAATAAGTAAGTCATCCACATAGAGACATATAACAGTGCAAACATTATTCTCATGCGCTTAAAATAAATACATTTGTTGCTCTCATTTATTTGAAAACCATTTGAGATGACTAAATTATCAAATTTTTCATGCCATTGCTTAGGTGCCTGTTTCAAACCATAAAGAGATTTGTCTAATTTACAAACTTTATTTTCTTTTCCAAGAACAATAAAACCCTCAGGTTGGTCCATGTAAATTTCTTCCTCTAAATCACCATTCAAGAACGCTGTTTTAACATCCATTTGGTGCACAACAATATCATGAATAACAGCTAAAGCAAACAGCACACGAATAGAAGTTATCCTAGTGACAGGTGAATAAGTATCAAAGAAGTCCACATTTTCTCTGTCTATAACCCTTGGCTACAAGACGAGCCTTATATTTTTCAATTGAACCATCAAGTTTTAATTTCTTTTTAAGAATCCATTTACAACCAATTGTCTTACAACCAGGTGGTAGATCTACAAGGTGCCAAGTTTTATTGAACTCCCAAGAGTCCATTTCATCATTTATAGCTTCCTGCCATAAATCTGCATCCAAAGAAGACAAAGCTTCTTGGAGAGTTGTGGGATCCTGCTCTAAGGTATATACATGAAAATCATATCCAAAGTCCTTTGCAGTTCATGCTCACTTACTCTTTCTTGGTTAGGTTCAGAAAGCTCTATACCTCTAGGTTCATTATTTCTGGATAGAGAAAGATTAATAGATGTTGAACCCCCACTATTTCTCAATTTAAAAGGAAATTTATCTTCAAAAAAATCAGCATCATTAGATTCAATAACAACATGGTTCTTTAAATCATAAAACCTATAGGCCTTACTATCAACAGCATACCCAATAAAAACACATTCATATGCTCTACTAGCTAGTTTTGATCTTTTTGGATCAGGGATACACACGTAAGCCAAACAACCCCAAGTTCTAAAATACAATACATTAGGTCTCCTATTTTTCAAAATTTCGTAAGGGGAAATTTTAGTTTTAGAGTTGGGAATTCTATTTAGCACATAACAAACAGTGAGTAGAATCTCTCCCCACCAAAAAGAAGCAGCTCCTTAACTAAGTAAAACATCAACAGTTCCGCCAGTGTTCTATTTTTCCCTTCAGCTTTACTATTCATTTCAGGAGAATAAGTGGCAGTTGTTTCATGAATAATACCAAGAGATTTATACAAATCAACAAAAACAGCAGATTCATATTCTTGACCTCTATCACTGCGAAATCTCTTAATTTTCCTGTTAAATTGATTTTCAATTTCAGTTATGAAAATCTTAAACATATCAATTGCTTCACTTTTATTTTTCATGTGATAAACAAAAGAATAATTAGAGCAATCATCAATAAAAGTGATAAAGTATCGTTTCCCATTTCTAGTTAACACTCCATCAAATTCGCAAATGTCAGAATGAATTAGATAAAGTGGTTCAGATACTCTAGTGACAGATTTATGTGGGGTTTTGGTAATTTTAGCTTGGCTACAAAATTCAAACTTCTCAAAATCATTCAACGACATTTCAGGAATAAATCCTAATTTACTCATATTTTTAACAAGCCTTTGCTAACGTGACAAAGTCTAGCATGCCAAGTATTGAAAGAACACAACATATAAGCAGAAGAAGAACTTTTATTAGCATCAGCATTCAATTTGAACATTCCATCAGTAGCATAGCCCTTACCAACAAACATACCATTTTGTGTAAGTGTATACAAGTCTGCTCCAATTGTTTGAGTAAATCTAGCCTTGTTGAGAAGATAGCCTGAGACCAGATTCTTCCTTATTTCTGGAGTGTGTAGAATGTCTTTGAGGATGACAATCTTTCCCGAAGTAAACTTTAATTCTATTTCTCCAGTTCCAGCAACAATTGTTGTGTGAGAATCACCCAACAACACTTTCCTGTCATCAGTCACAGAATAGGTCTTGAAAAAGGCACGATCATAGCAAACATGTCGAGAAGCGCCAGTGTCTACCCACCACCCCTCTAATCCATCGACCATGTTGATTTCTGAAATCATAGCAATAAGTTGCTCTTCAGTTATATTCATTTGAGGAGCAGGGGGATACCTATTCCTACAGTTCCGGGCAAGGTGCCCTAGCTTGTGACAGTTATAACATAGAAATTGTCTCGAATCATCATCATGTGAGGGGGGTTGACTCCTAATATGATTCTGATGAAGGTTCCGATTATGATGGTGTTGAGGATTCTGACTTTGGCTGTGTGTCCCATTTCGATTCTGGTTGTTGTTGTTGCGGTTCCTGTTTTGATTTTTCATATTCTTGCCATTTGTCTTCAGAGCAGCTGGGGTTCGATTCTTGTTGGAGTTGTGATTTTTCTTGTTGTTGGAGACGAGCAAAACTTCTTCTTTCATGTCATGTTTCCTGGCCTCCTCCTCAATACGCAGACGAGTGATCAAGCTTTCCAAGGAAAATTCTTTGGTCTTGTGACGCAGAGCATTCTTGAAATTTTTCCAGCTGGGAGGCAGCTTGTCAATGATAACAGCCACCTGAAATTGTTCATCTAGATTCATGCCTTCAATAATAATTTCATGTGCAATTTTCTGTAGTTCATGAGATTGTGCTTCTTCTGATTTTTCATCCACCATTTGAAACTTCAAATAGCGACTGACAGCAAATTTCTTTGCACCAGCTTCTTCTGTGTCATATTTTTTTTGAAGTGCATCCCACAAATCTTTAGCAATATCATAAGAAGAATAATAATCATAAAGATCATCAGATAAACCATTCAAAATATAGTTCTTGCACAAGAAATCATTTTCAGTCCATGTCTGCAAGGCCCAAGTTAGTTCAAGAGTGGGATTGTCAGAGGCATATGGTTTAACAGATGTGCAGACAGAAGCTAATTTTTTTGTTGTAAGGTAAAACAACATCTTTTGCCTCCCATCGTTTAAAATGAAGACCCTCAAATTTGGAAGGTTTATTTAGGTCCGGGGTGAATGAATTGTTGACAGCTTCCATGGCAGATGATATGTCTTAAAATTGTTGAAGCAGAGAAAATTAAAAGAACAATATTACCCGGAAAATTCGTTGTGAAGCTGTGAACGATTCTTGGGATGAGTCGCGTACAAAGTCGCTATCTTTAAGACGTTTCGCGGCTCTGCCCAATTTGTGCAAGCAGTTCAGAAAATGCCACTACGTCCCTAGGATAAAACAGCCTCAGAATCTCCTCTGTTTAGGTTCTTCCTTGCATTGAGGAAGGACCCGAATACAAACACCTTTCTATGTTGCTCAGAAACCTTAGTTTAGAAAATAAGGAAAAGATATAAAGAGGAGGGAGGCAGCTGCTATAGTCTGTGTCCTTTCTCTCTTAGCTATATCAAATATATATACAAGATTTATCACAAAGAGACGTTGTGGGCATCAATGCATCAGTTGAAAAAAGATTCAGCCCATATTAATAGAAAATTATCACAAAGAGATTTGTGGGCATCAATGCATCAGTTGAAAAAAGATTCAGCCCACATTAATAGAAAATTAACTCAGTAATAAAGACAATTTAAGGAAATTATTGAATTATTGAAAATATATATTTTTAAAAATAAAAATAAACATACCAATTTCAACAAAAATTGATTTAGTTTGTTAAGCACCAAAATGTACCCAATATTATGAATTAACAACATGTCTCATCATACACTATATGTAAAATTACATTTTCATATTATAATTACCAGTAGCTAGTAATTGCATTGGTAAAGTGTTTGTAGATCCTTACCATTCACATGAAAAACGTTGTAAATTCCTACCTAAATAATTTAATTTACAAGTTCAAGGATCTACTTTACAAAGTTATAGTACCCTAATGTCCAAAACATTGTAATACCTTATGTTTATTAGAATAAGGGTCCATTTTTATTTCTTTAAAGTCTACCCTTACCACTCCATGGTAATGTAGATCCCTATCAATGTAAATCAAGGATTACAGCAAAGTGGACTTGGGTGAACCTTTACTGTAACATACTTGCCCAAAATGATCTTTGATTTTGGAAAAGTAGTTTGAAAATACAACGAGGACATTCCGGTTAGGAAACGAAAAGGACGTGTTGGGAATTTGAAACTTTGTTCTTTAAAACTCCTAAATACCCCAGCCCAGCATGAGACACCCTCCCTCCTCATTTTCTCTCTCCCGACCTTCTCTCTTTGCGCACAGTGACGCCGCGCCTTCTAGGCCATTGGTCGGGAAAGGACCGCCTCAAGCCATCGATCATGGCTGGGCAAAGACCCGACCACCCTAGGCCACACAACTGCGACATGAGCTAGAAGAAGAGCCAAGGGTTTCGGGAGTTTCAAGGGCCGTTTCTAGCCGCTTTGGCCACCATTTTCGTCAATTGAGGTATGAAACTTCATCCTCTTTTCATGCTCTATGTCACACCCCAGATCGGATCCGCCGTAGCACGATGTTGTTCGCTTTGGGCCCTCTTTGTTGCTGGGAACTCACGAGCAACTTCCTCATGGGTCACCCATCTTGGGATTGCTTTAGCCCCAACTCACTTAACTTCGAAGTTCCCATGACTCCGAAACCAGTGAGCTCCCAAAAGGCCTCATGCTAGATGGAGCATGTACATATAAGGCACATCACCCCCTCTCCATTGGTCGATATGAGATGTTACAATCCAACCCCCTTAGGGGCCCAACGTCCTCATTGGCACACTCGCACCACATAGCAGAATGGCTCTGATACCATTCTATCACACCCCGGATCGGCTCCACCGTAGCACGATATTGTCCGCTTTAGGCCCCCTCATGCCCTCACGGTTTTGTTCTGGGAACTCACGAGCAACTTCCTAGTAGGTCACCTATCCTGGGATTGCTCTATCCCCAACTCGCTTAACTTCGGAGTTCTCATGACTCCGAAGCCATTGAGTTCCCAAAAGGTCTCATGCTAGATGGAAGTGGGCATGTACATATAAGGCACATTACCCCCTCTCCGTTGGTCGATGTGGGATGTTACCCTCTAGCTATTGTTATAGGTTTTTGGGCTTGATTTTCCAGTTTGAGGGTTTGTTGTGGACACCCATTAGGGACAATGGTTAGAAAGCGTTTTGGGGCCAAACCAGCCACCTTGAGTTGTCAAGTCAAGTATAAAAGTTAGTCCCCATGTTAGTTGAATGTTTTGGTATAAGTATTACTCGTTGATGTGGAAATTTTATGTCGTCGAAAACTGCCTCGATCCACCACCGTTGCCTGCGACTTGTGGCGGCTCGTGGTCCCAGAATTATTCTCGTGTCATCCCGAGCACAACGGTATGCCCGGATACGTGAAATTCATCGTTTGGTCTGTGAATCGTAATTTTGCCTATTATGTGATTTTTGTGTTATTATGATTGGACCATCAAATTGGTCCTGTTTTAGAATATGTCTTTCTATGGATCTCTAGGGTCATGTAAGAATTTACAGATTGAGAATGGGATGTTTGTATTGAATTGGTTTGATAGTTTAAAGCCCTTTTGTTAATTGGGGAAGTTTGATTTCTTGTTTAATTATCGTTTATAACAGGATGAATTTCAGTGTTTATGAATTAATTATTTTATCGCTTTACTTTTCAAATGTGATGTATTTATGTTTCTTATTATGATATGGCTTGGAAAATGGGAAATGGTTTTTGCAATGTGGATTATGGGAAAAGGAATTCAGTTAAGGATTTGGAAAGGGACTGGGAAAGAATATTGCATGTGCCTGTAGTTTGGATACATGTGTCCGACCAGGAGCATTTACATGTACTTACAGTAGTAGGTGTCTTGCCAGTAAATTGCATGTACTCGTGTCATAGATACCAGTGTTCCGCCAATGGTTGCCTATACCTGTTAAAACATCAAATCCATCTTTTAAAAACATAGAGATGGATACACATCCAGAAATGAAATAACAATTATTCAAATTCAAGTCCTCTTTAGGGGGTAGTTTGAGATATTAGGTGCCTATAGCATTGGCAACTATATTAGTGCTCTTTCCCATAGTTAGCACCATTTCTCATTTTCTAAGTCTTCTACTTCCCACTAGTCCATGCACACAATTGCATGTATGTGTGACTAACTCTTGAATCAATTATTCAGTTTAAAAGTTTTAACTATAATTACTAATTTTTAGAGCAAAAGAGTTACCTTCTGAAGGTTTTTCTCTTGAGGCATTCAAGACATCTGTTACAATTCCTCTTCCAATGTCCATCCTTGTCACAGTGAAAACAAGTACCTTTCAGTTACTTTTCTTTCTTTGTGTTCTTCCTTTCTTGGGTTTTTAGAAAACCTTTCTTCTTGTTCCCTTTATCCTGAACTTTTAGTTTGGATTTGGAAGAAGAAGAACCCTACTAAAATTGCAACTATCCCCTTTAACCCTTTATCTTTTGAGATATTCATTTAAGCTACTATAGCCATGTGAGTAGCTCAGATAAGGTGGTTTTAATTTTTCCCATATTATAATTCATAACATACTGGGATTAACTGATGATAGGGATGAAATAAAAAATCTTGTTGAACTTCAACATCAAAGAAAAATCCATATTTTCCAATCTCTTAAGTAATTATATTACTTTGAGACTATGTTGATTAATCAGGAACCCACTTACCATTATTGTCATAACAAGTTCACATATGGTATTGTAAGCTACGAGTAGCTTCACCTTTCATGGATGCCAACATGTAACTTTTACCTCGGTTGTCATCTGACACATGCTTCTTATAAGCCTTTGTCTTCTCCTCAACGGCATATGGACCAAAAGGGGTATGTGGTGGGGTTTTTTCTAATAGACAACCAATCTCATCCAATTATAGGACAACTTGGTGTTTGTGTAATCAAACCGGATAGTTCGTGTCATCTTGGACGTTTAAGCCAAGTATCTTTGAGATTGGGTTTGTGATGGTTCTTTTGAAATTCTGCATAACTAAATAGATTTTAATTTAGATTAATCTTCTACCAAGGACTTAGGGTCTTTAAATCATGATGGTAGCTCCCACTATTTTTGGCAAATTTCATATCCATCTTGAAATTTGAGAGTTTCCGTTGAAACTCTTAGTGGGGATAGGAGTCTCACTTGCACATAGTTTTCCTCAACCTAACAATTTGTTGGATTTCTATGTTACTAATGAGAGGATACTTGTATCCAATCACATCATAATGTGAATACCCATCACTATGGCCTCTAGAGAACTAGACCTCAACCTAAAAGTTTTTTGGTTTTGTTCCCACCATGCTTATGGATATAGGGTTTCAAGTACATCCACAACCTAATGATTTGTTGGCCATACTTGTTATCTATCTACACTACGTCATGTATGTTTAATAGGTTTCCCTTGGATGGTTACAAGTACTGGATGTTGCCTCACTGAGGTACAACAACGTGTACATGTGCCACCCAATAAGAGACTACCACGATGGAAGGTGTTAAAGGAAAGAAAATCAGTCAATGATCTGAGATTGAGAGATTGTAGGATCTGAATATATTTGGCAATCAGTCAATGATATGAGATGATATGAGATTGAGAGATTGTAGGATCCGAATATAATTAGCAAATAATTAGTATGTATTTACTTAGAATAGACATGCTCTGTATGTATAAAGCTGCTGTATCTGTTTGAAGTGTTACACACATATATAGAATACATTAAACTTTCTCATGGTATCAGAGCACCTATCTTGGTGACTCTGCCCAAACACCTTCCGCTACAACCACAAACGTACTGCAAACACCATTGAAACACAACATCATGAGTGAATCAAAATCTACAGAGACAGCTCCTATCTCTTCCGATCCTCTGTCTTTGTACAACTCCGACACACCGGGACTTTCCCTAGTTAACATCAAACTCGAAGGTCACAATTATGGCCAATGGAGCAGATCTATGCATCTCAGCCTCAGCGCCAAGAACAAGCTTGGATTGGTTGATGGAACAGTCAAGGCCCCTTCATCCAATGACCCAAAATTCTCAATCTGGCAGCGCTGCAATGACATGGTCCTGTCATGGATCGTGCACTCTCTTCATCCGGACATTGCCAGCAGTGTCCTTTATGCTAAAACAGCGGCGGCTATTTGGACAGATCTTCGAGACCGTTTTTCACAGAGCAATGACGCCAGAATTTATCAGATTCGACAAGAAATTGTCGAGTGCAGACAAGGAACGCAAACTATCTCCATCTATTACACAAAGTTGAAAGCTCTTTGGGATGAGTTGGCTTCATACCAAGAGCCCTTTATCTGTGACTGTGAAGGACTAAAAAAACCTTGCTGAGAGAGAAGAGAAAGAAAGGGTGATGCAATTTTTGATGGGTTTGAGCGACACCTACTCTACGGTTCGAGGATCAATTCTCATGATGAATCCCTTACCTGACACATGCAAAGTTCACGGCCTGGTTCTCCAACACGAGCGCCAGCTAGAGGTGACCAGCATGCATGACAATCTGGTTACTCCATATGCAATGCAAACCGGTCGTTCTTCGGTGGTCGCCACTCCCTCCACAGGTTGGTCACAATCCCGCAAATCCCTCAAGTGCTCATATTGCGATGGAGATGGTCATCTGAAAGAATGATGCTACTTTATTATTGGTTTCCCTGTGGGCCATAAATGGCATGGCAAAAATGTTAAGCCCAGAAACCAGCATTCCGGTCCAACAGCTCACAACATTGAAGCCATTCAGTCAACAGTCCAACCTACTGCCATCACCAAGACAACCCCCGTTGACAGCCCAACCTTCACCACTGAGGAGTACAACGAACTTCTTACCATGCTTCGTAATAAGAAGGGTAACAGTCAGCCTCTAGCACATGCAACAGGTATCATTACACCCACTTGTAATATTGCACAACATGATCCACACTCCATGCTATATTGGATTGTGGATAGCGGGGCCACCGATCACATTTCTCATTCGGCTCCTACACATAATCAAACTGCCACACATCATGAATTTGTTAGTTTGCCCAACGGAGAACAGACAGCAATACGTAACATTGGATCTATGCATCTAGCGCCCGACTTGACTCTTGATGGAGTTCTACATGTTCCAAAATTTCGTGTTAATTTGTTATCTGTTAGTAAATTAACGCGAGCTCTTCGATGTATAGTAATTTTCTTTTCAAATTTTTGTGTTATGCAGGACGTGGATACAAAGAAGACGATTGGCCTGGGCAAGCATTTTGATGGGCTTTACTACCTCACACCTACCCAAAATCCTCACCTTGCTACTCATGTTCGTCGTACCTCCATGCTTTGGCATCAACGTCTCGGACATCCGTCATCTACACCTCTTCACTCTTTATCCAAGACTATTCCTGAAATAATGTTTCATTCTGAGCAAATTTGTGATGTTTGCCCTTTGGCTAAACAAACCAGATTACCATTTACTTCTAGTTCAATTAAAACAGTTGCACCTTTTGATCTTATTCATTGTGACATTTGGGGCCCTCATAATACCCGTACACATTCTGGGGCACGTTATTTTTTGACAATTGTTGATGATTTCACTCGTTTCACTTGGGTTCATCTTATGAATTTTAAATCTGATACACAAACCATTTTGAAATCATTTTTCTCTTGGGTCACCACTCAATTTAATCGCCCCATTAAAACTCTTCGTTCTGACAATGGTAGTGAATTCCTATCCATGCGTCCATTCTTTCTTGACCATGGCACTAATTTTCAACACTCTTGCACATATACTCCTCAACAAAATGGGGTCGTTGAACGCAAACATCGTCATCTCTTAAACATTGGACACGCACTTCGGTTCCAAGCAAACTTGCCTTTGCAATTTTGGGGAGACAGTCTTCAAACAGCATGCTACCTCATAAATCGACTCCCCACCCCCTTACTCTCTCATAAAACCCCTTATGAGCGATTACATGGGAAATCACCTGTTTATTCTCACCTACGGGTTTTCGGGTGCCTTTGCTATGCCACTCACCTTAACCCCACTCACAAATTTGACACCCGGGCTCGTCGTTGTCTTTTTCTTGGGTATCCTCTTCGTCAGAAAGGCTATTGTGTCTTCGATCTTGAAACAAAGAAATATTTTGTGTCTCGGGATGTCATTTTTCATGAACACTCATTTCCTTTTTCTCACTCCCCTTCTAGCCCTCCCACGGACCAACCCATTCTGCCTACTCCTCCTACCACTTCAGACCTTCTTTTTCTACCAGGCCCGATGTCTCCAGGCCCACATTCACCACACTTACCTCCCCTAGGCCCGGCCCACTTTGATCAGCAAATCTCCCATTCTGATACACTTCCAAACCCTACTTCCCCAATCTCCACACTGCCTCTCCCTTCTCTCGATGGCGACTCTGGTTCTCCAATCCCCGACCTCACCTCTCTTTCGACTGATCAGCCGTCGTCCTCCCTTGAACCTTCACAGCCTCATCCTCCTCCTCCTGACTCATCCTCATTACCTCGCCGGTCTGTGCGTGTCCCACGTCTTCCTTCCTATCTTCGGGACTATGAAGCTCATCACACCGCCTTGCTCATGCCCGGAGTCGCTTCTTCCTCCACGTCTGGAACCAGGTATCCCCTTCATCGATATGTATCTTACTCTGGTCTTTCTCCTGCTTATCGGAATTATGTGTGTAATATATCCCGATTGGTAGAGCCTTCTTCCTATGAACAGGCCTGTCATGACCCTCACTGGGTTGCTGCAATGAACTCTGAGTTGCAAGCTCTTGAAGACAACCACACCTGGTCGCTGGTTCCTCTGCCTCCCGGTCATCGTCCCATTGGTTCCAAGTGGATTTTTCGGATTAAATACCACTCCGATGGCTCTGTTGATTGTTACAAGGCCCGCCTTGTTGCCCAGGGGTTCAACCAACGTGAAGGTATTGACTTCACTGACACATTTGCTCCGGTTGCGAAGTTGATCACTGTCCGCTACTACTCACGGTTGCGGCTGCTCGCAAATGGTCTCTTCATCAAATGGACGTTCAGAACGCGTTTCTCCATGGCGACCTCCACGAGGAGGTTTACATGTTACCTCCGCCTAGTTCACGTCGACAGGGGGAGCAGCAGGTTGTATGTCGACTCCACAAGTCCTTGTATGGACTGAAACAAGCTCCACGAAGCTGGTTTCGAAGTTTTCATCTACTATATGTGGCATTGGTTTCAAGCAATCTCGGGCAGATTACTCGTTGTTCACACAGGTACATGGAAGTTCCCTGACTATTATATTGCTCTATGTAGATGACATGATCATCACAGGGAATGATGAGGATGTAATCTGTAAATTGAAGCATTTCCTTGGCAACCAATTCCGAATCAAAGATCTCGGACCTTTGAAATATTTCCTTGGTGTTGAGGTAGCACGGTCGAAAACGGGAATTTCTATATGTCAACGCAAGTATACTCTTGACATTTTGGGAAGAAGCTGGACTGCTTGGAGCTAAACCAGCCAAGGTTCCCATGGATCCTGATATAACATTATCTTCTACAGGTGAACTGCTCAAAGATCCTACTAGGTATCGACGCTTAGTTGGAAAGCTAATTTATCTCACAATTACAAGACCAGAAATTACTTATGCAGTCAATACACTCAGTCAGTTATGCAAGAGCCTAAACGTCAACATCTTGATGCTGTAAATCGTCTACTTTACCTTAAAGGGGTTCCAGGGCAAGGGTTGTTATTCTCTACACAGAACAAAGTTGAACCTAATTGGTATTGTGATGCTGATTGGGCTCGTTGCCCAATGACACGCCGGTCAGTCACGGGATAATGCATCTTTCTTGGTAACTCACTGGTGTCCTGGAAAAGCAAGAAGCAAGTTACAATTGCACGATCATCTGCTGAAGCTGATATCGTTCAATGGCTGCAGCTACATGTGAACTCACTTGGTTAAGATATCTAGTGCATGATCTGCATGTTACTCATGCTGAACCTGCAAAGTTGTTTTGTGATAATCAAGCTGCCCTATATATTGCAGCAAATCCAGTGTATCACGAACGTACCAAACACATTGAGCTCGATTGTCACACCGTTCGTGAAAGAATAGAAAGAGGTGAGATCAAGATGGATATGTGCAAACTGGAGAACAGATAGCAGACCTGTTTACCAAGCCATTGAGGGCACCTACATTCTATTCACTTCTTGGCAAGTTGGGTGTCATCAATATCCACCTTCCAACTTGAGGGGGAGTGTTAAAGGAAAAAATCAGTCAATGATCTGAGATTGAGAGATTGTAGGATCTGAATATATTTGGCAATCAGTCAATGATATGAGATTGAGAGATTGTAGGATCCGAATATAATTAGCAAATAATTAGTATGTATTTACTTAGAATAGACATGCTCTGTATGTATAAAGCTGTTGTATCTGTTTGAAGTGTTACACACATATATAGAATACATTAAACTTTCTCAGAAGGCCACAAATAGCATTTCAAAGTGCCATTTCACTTATCAACTTCATATTGCTTTGATGGTAGTTACATTAGTCTCATATTAATCCAATTTTAATCTTGTTAAAATAACTTATCTAATCTCATTAATGGTTCCCAGTGCATATTTAGTAGCACATAATACTCCCACTAAATATTTTAGAAACCATTTACTTGAGATAGTGGGAATACATGATACTACTAATTGATTAATTATCATCACTACCAAACATTCCAGTTGCATTGGGCTTGTAGGATGATTATGGACTTTCTTGTTGATCCAACACGAGCCATTTCATTATTCATGACCGATCAAAATGAAATCAAATCCAATAAGCAGCCAATCACATGGCTCAATTGTTTGGTCTAAGTCATGGAGATGGGACCGTGGAACTGGTTCAAGCTGACTCATGACCTTTCATGGCTTCAGCCAACGCAGTAGAGGCCAGATTTTACAAGGATGATCTTGGTCCTCTTTATTTCACGGGGTCAAATAAGAACGGCCAACCTACAGGAGTCTCGGCCCAAAAATTGATAGACTTGGGGGCATATGATGCACAAACAGATGGGGAGTGCCCCACAATGGTTGATTTCTTCTCTCTCAATAATTGATACAACCATTGAGGAAGAGAAAAGAGCCGCGGTGGAAGACACTTTGAGACGGTTATATGGTTTTTAGGCCGAGAGAGCGGTCGAGCATGGGTCTACAGCTCTTGGTGGAATTTCCTCCATAAGCCGGAAGATATCCCTTGAAATCGAGACTTGGTGCCCTGAGATGGTGATTCAAAGGTAGATGTCCAAGATTGGCACTTGAGTCAACTTTTTTTTTTTTTTTTTTTTTTTTTTTTTTTTTTTTTTTTTTTTTTTTTTTTTTTTTTTTTTTTTTTTTTTTTTTTTTTTTTTTTTTTTTTTTTTTTTTTTTTTTTTTTTTTTTTTTTTTTTTTTTTTTTTTTTTTTTTTTTTTTTTTTTTTTTTTTTTTTTTTTTTTTTTTTTTTTTTTTTTTTTTTTTTTTTTTTTTTTTTTTTTTTTTTTTTTTTTTTTTTTTTTTTTTTTTTTTTTTTTTTTTTTTTTTTTTTTTTTTTTTTTTTTTTTTTTTTTTTTTTTTTTTTTTTTTTTTTTTTTTTTTTTTTTTTTTTTTTTTTTTTTTTTTTTTTTTTTTTTTTTTTTTTTTTTTTTTTTTTTTTTTTTTTTTTTTTTTTTTTTTTTTTTCTCTGACCCAAAACCTGATAAAAAACACATAAAAAAATCCTTTGAGCTAGGATTAATGATCAAGAAAGCCCAGTTTGACCTTCTTTGTTGGTTTCAATCCACGTGTGGTATCACACCCACACAATCAAGTGTGGGACTTATCCTATCCTACTAATATGATTTTTTATTTTTATAAATTGAATTGTTTTTGGTTCAACGAAAGATGAAAAAATCATGGGATAGCCTGTGTTTGTGCAAAAATCTTCAGGGGAGAATATTTGCTTGTGGATTCTCAACCTTTGATCTTCATCTCTCTCTTCCTCGATTCCTATAAAAAAAATAAAAAAAGGAATAAATAGACCTGCTTGGGGGGTGTTGGTCAAGGTTATCCGATGCCTAAGTTAGGTCGATTGAATCGAAGAAAAAACAATAGATAAAAAAGGGTACAAAGATGATGTATGATGTGAATTGGGCGACTGGAGCCATGGTGATGGTCGGAGTCATGTATGTAAATATGGAGAAAGGAGAGTGGTGTGGCTGGCGGCGGTGGTGGCGCCGTCGGCTAGGGAGAGAGAGATATGGAGAGTTTTGGGTATTTTCTCAGGTTTTAGAATTTTCTCAGCATCTAGGGTTTTGCAAAGAATAACTCTTATTAGGAAGGGGTTTATTCTTTCCTCAAATTGTAGAGATTGAGTCTATTAGGGATTTGATTGGGATCAAATCTCCTAATTTGATGATGATAATATCTCCTAATTAGGATAATATCGAAATTGGTGGTATTATCTTATTAAATAAAGATAATATACCATATTTAAGATATTATCCCTAATTTTAGTGTTAATTAATTGGCCAAATAAATGGACTCAATTAATTAACCTAAGGGATATTCTTCTCATCCACGTGGCTTCTTGTGATTGGAAACTGAAATATTTGCTCCCATAGCCTGCAATATTGTCTGCTTTGTATATTAGTTTGAATTATGTATCTGGTTCACTTGAAGAATCATTTTGCTTTGTTCATTAACCTGAATGAAAATTAACCAACTTTATAGTAGCATGTCGCATGACTTGATATAATCGTGTCAATAAATAACATCAGAGCGTTCTAGTATTCTATTGAAATGAAGTTTGAAATGTATAGGATAGGGGGTGGGGTTAAATTTGAAAAGCACTAAGAGCATCTCCAGTAGAGTTGCTATACTTTGATTCTTAACTGTTTTGGCTAGAGTGAGGGCAAAATGCAATTTCAGCAGATTTGCTATTAAGCTCTCTATTTTGGACAACTCTCTATTTGAGTTTGGTGGCTCTCTACATTTAGAGAGGAGGAGAGAGAAATTGAGGGTCCTTAGAAGTAATTTTACAAAGGCATAAATTTATCTTTAAAATTTTAAAAATAAAATGAGTAGGAAAATAGGACAAGAGATGGAAATAGTAGCACTCAATGTAAAAGGACGTGAATCATTCAAAACGCACGAGAAATTGAAGAATAATTTGAATCACTAATCGAAACAACATTCACACGCGGTGGCATCCGTAAGACCAATACTTGTATGGTGTCTGTTGGTCCCAAATAAGACCAATAATTGTAGCATGTCTGTTTCTAGAGGTGGCATCCGTAAAATGGACCACATGTGGGTCTGCCTTCTTGAAAAAATTGTACAAATTAATTATTGATGAGAAAAATCGGGTGAAACGTATACTTTTTCTTCTTCAGCAATGTGACACAATTAAATGTTGAAGGATTACAGAATAAATAAAAAATTCATTTAACAAACAATTGAAAACTGAGGAAGAATTAGGGGACTATAGATATAATCTTGTAATAATGGAATTCATTGTCTTTGGAAATGGTGAATCTCCATATTCATGCAGGTTTTAGCTTCAAGAAGTTAGAATATATGTATTCACAGGCCTGAGTGGCTTTGGCTCTTCTTCCTTTCTCAAATACTAGGATGAAAAATGAGGTATTGGTATCAATATGCTTGCCATTATCGGACACGGAGAGATTTCAGCAGGAGCTCGAGAAGAGTCTCTTAAGGATATTTATAACAATAAATCAGCTAGGATCACGTCAATGATGTAACAAATTCATCAAATGCCAGATCGCTTAGTGTATGATGTCAATGAATTTTGGAATGTAACATAAGAACTAGATGCAAAGGTTTGTGTTAACATAAAAATAAATTGCAATTTAATCGGCAATGTGTTGTAATAGGAAGAATAAAACATCATTTGGTGTTTGTGAACCATAATTGCAATCCACGCGTGAGAAAGGAATGAAGAATGTGAATCATTCAAAACGCATAAGAAATTGAAGAATAATTTGAATCACTAATAATCCAAATCTTTTCCATGCGTACGTGGTCCTCATGCTTTATATCTGTGTCACGGTCTATCAATGTGACTGGATTGTGTGAAATGGAAAAGAAAAGTGGCACAAGTATAGTAACCTTTTGTGGCACCGTCTATCAATTGATGTCAAGCCGCAGAAGCTCAAACACGTCTATAAATATGTACCTGTCTATACCTGTCTATCATAAGTGTAGTACTTGTTCTTTTATTTTAAAGTTATCAAAATTTTCTTTGGTAGGTTTTCAAGCCCACTCGCTTGTGCAATGATTTCCCCATCCGCCCTCCTATTTCAAGTGAACCGTTTGAAGCCAGAACTTATAACACCGGCGAAGCCAACACCTCATGAAACAAAGCTACTCTCAAATATTGATGACCAGGAAAGCCTTAGGTTTCAGGTTCCAGTCATAATGTCGTACAAGAACAATCCTTCAATGAAAGGAAACGATGCCGTTGAGGTGATCAGGGAAGGATTGAGTCGGGCACTCGTGTATTACTACCCTTTGGCTGGCAGGCTCAGGGAAGGACCTAATAGGAAGCTTATGGTGGAGTGCAATGGAGAAGGTGTCTTGTTCATAGAGGCTAATGCTGACGTCACGCTTGCGCAACTCGGGGACACGATTGCACCCCCTTCTCCATTCTTAGAGGAGTTTCTTTATAATGTTCCAGGCTCTGATGGGATTCTTGGTTGCCCTCTGTTGCTGATTCAGGTGAGTATTTGTTAGTTAACTGCATGTTAATTAATATCTGTTTTTGAATTTCTTGGTGGATCTTGAAAGTTTCTGATTGCTGGAATTTACTTCCATTGAATCTTTGCCTCTTTATGGATTTGAAATAGGTAGGTAAAGGTCCACTACTGTTAATTTAACTGTGTATCAGAAGTGTGTATGGTCCCAAATAAAACCATCTACTGACTTCTAAGATTGTACAAATGGTGAGAAATATCAGGTGAGTTAAAACAAAGTTTGATATACAAAAAACTAATAAAAAATATCTAGCCTCATAGTTCTCAAGTACTATGTTGCTCTGAGTTAGGCCTCATCATTTGGCCCGCGGGCTCATGGGCCGATGGGGGCCCGCCCGGCCCATCGAGAGAATAGCCCGGCCCGACCCGATATGGGCTTTT